TTGGTGCGGGGGGGGGGGGGGCAGGGGGGCAGAGGGAGAGGACAGGAGAGCTCCCTTCCTCTGGCATCTGCGTGTGGGGTTAGTGGACAGCTCTTGGCCGGGGCTCTGGCTGCCCTGGTTCTGGAGCCCTTTTGTCCCTGTCCTGCTCCCCCCGCCCCCCTCCCCCCTGCACACACAGCAGGGCAACCACAGAGCCCCCCCGGGACCTCTCGTTCGCTGACACTCGACAGGCAGTGCACTTGTTGGAGTAACATGGGAGCCGCGTCCCAAGGATCCAGCGTTCCCCGAGCTGCACGCTGTCTCCCACCTTCCCACTCAGTCCTGCGCCTTCCCGGCCCTCCTGGGTCAGGCGAGTCCACCCCACGTGCAGGCAGCCACCTGCTGCTCCGTGTCCAGGAGCAGGACTTCCCTGAGGCGGGAGGGGAGAGGAGGGTGACAGGTCCTGGGCGAAGCTCCGGCCAGGACTCCCCTGCTCCAGGTGAGGGCCCTGCAGGTGCCAGGGACCCGCTGCCCACGGGCCAGGTCACCGCCTGGGGACTGAAAGGCCTCCGGGGAGGAGAGAGGCCGGGGCTGGGGCTCCCCTCCCTGGCCCTGGGGCGAGGGCAGCCCTGGTGTGTGAAGGAGGGGCCCGCGGGCCTGTGCGGCCCCCCCACAGCATCCCCTGCGGTCCCTCGCGGGTGCATGCATGCTGCTCACCGACAGGACCCGGCGCTGGTAGCCAGGCTGACAGGACAGGCTCAGGTGCCCCTGTCTGGACGCCTTCATCATATCCCGTCTCACCGCCCGCGGGCCTGTGCGGCCCCCCCACAGCATCCCCTGCGGTCCCTCGCGGGTGCATGCAGGCTGCTCACCGACAGGACCCGGCGCTGGTAGCCAGGCTGACAGGACAGGCTCAGGTGCCCCTGTCTGGACGCCTTCATCACATGACCCCGTCTCACATCTCCCTCCCCCTCTGTTTCCAGGTCTGGCTGTCCATCAGATCGTCACCATCACCGTCTCCCTCATCATGGTCATAGCTGCTCTGATCACAACTCTTGTCTTAAAAAACTGGTAAGGGTCCCGGACCTTCTCGTCTGGAAATGGAGGCTGCGGGGGTCCCCGGGGAGGTGGTGCACACAAAAGGGTCCTAGTTCTCAACCTGGCGGCAGGCACAGCCCGGGGGACTGTTTCTCTGTGCCAGGCCCGGGCCCCAGAACACAGCCCCTCGTCCCGCAGCCCCCATCCCACAGGCTGGCTGAGAGCCGGCGTCCTGACTCAGGCAGCAGGCGTACCCTCTCTGCACACTTTTTCCCGGAGCAAGTGCCTTTGGGTTGCCCCCTGGGGCGTATCCCTTTTTCTTTTTCTTTTTTTTAAGTATATATTTTTATTGATTTTTAGAGAGAGGATTTTTAGAGAGAGAGGAAAGGAGAGGGATAGAAAGATAGAACCATTGATAAGAGAGAAGCATCAATACGAGAGGAATGTCATCCATCAGCTGCCTCCTGCATGCCGCCTGCTGGGGATCGAGCCTGCAACCCAGGCACGTGCCCTGACTGGGAATCGGACCCGTGACTTCTTGGTTTATGGGTTGATGCTCAACCACTGAGTCCCACCACCTGGGCCCCAAGCCTTTTTCTTCATTTCCCAGTGTCAGCCTGGCAGAGGCTGCGCTGGCTGCCCTGGTTCTGGAGCCCTTTTGTCCCTGTCCTGCTCCCCCCGCCCCCCTCCCCCCTGCACACACAGCAGGGCAACCACAGAGCCCCCCCGGGACCTCTCGTTCGCTGACACTCGACAGGCGGTGCACTTGGAGTAACATGGGAGACGCGTCCCAAGGATCCAGCGTTCCCCGAGCTGCACGCTGTCTCCCACCTTCCCACTCAGTCCTGCGCCTTCCCGGCCCTCCTGGGTCAGGCGAGTCCGCCCTACGTGCAGGCAGCCGCCTGCTGCTCCGTGTCCAGGAGCAGGACTTCCCTGAGGCGGGAGGGGAGAGGAGGGTGACAGGTCCTGGGCGAAGCTCCGGCCAGGACTCCCCTGCTCCAGGTGAGGGCCCTGCAGGTGCCAGGGACCCGCTGCCCACGGGCCAGGTCACCGCCTGGGGACTGAAAGGCCTCCGGGGAGGAGAGAGGCCGGGGCTGGGGCTCCCCTCCCTGGCCCTGGGGCGAGGGCAGCCCTGGTGTGTGAAGGAGGGGCCCGCGGGCCTGTGCGGCCCCCCCACAGCATCCCCTCCAGCCCCTC